GCGATCGTCGGACGCCGGTTCCGAGGGGCCCGTGGAGCTGATGCGGTGCCAGAGCCGGTTTTCTGGTGCTGCGAGGAGGGGCCGCGTTGATCCGCTTGGTTTTACCAGTCCCTGGGAAGAACGCGGCAGCGCCCGACCTGCCGCGAGTGGGACCGTGTGTGCGCCCAGCCCCTCCGTGGGCCTCTGCCCTGCCGGGCCCTGCCGTCCCTCAGGCAGGCCCTGGATGCACCCGGGCTGTCCCGGCAGCGCTGCCCCGACGTCTGGTCCCGGCCCCGCCGCGCGGCGTCCCGGGGCCGCCGGGCCCTCCCGTGCCCCCATCCCCTCGTCGCCCGAAAGGCGGCCGGCTGCCCTGCGGAGCCCATAGCAGGCAGGTTGCGCAGGGTCTCTTTGCTTTAAGTTATGCCTTGATACTTCTCTCAAGAACACAGCTGCCAAATAAATAGCCAGATACCTTTTTTTTGTTTGTTTTAAAAAGTTCTGTATGCAGGAGATCTCAATACAAGAAATTCTGGTTTGCGTACCTTAGGTTTTTCGGAGATCAGTCATGTGCAGTGCTAAAGGTAGGGTACGACCAGGGCATGTCTGTGCCTATTGATGCATGAGAGTCACTAAGCAATTTGAGTTTTGGTTCAGATTGCCAATGGAATTACTTTCTGGTAAGGGTGACTATTGCAAGAGCTTATAAACAGTTCGTGGTAGTTTTTCTGGTTACATATACATGAATGTAGTTACCCAAATTGTGAATTTCCATTCTTTGCTGGTGCCCGCTGTTCACCGTGTCTGTTCCTACGTGACACAACTCTTGGTTACTCACTGGCCACTGGCACAGGCCGAGGAATACAGATGGAGGTCTTCTAGCAGGGCAGCGGGACCTGGCGTGACAGATGCAAGGTGCATCTGCGCACCCACAGCAGCAGCAACAGCATCTTACAATGTTAAGACCTGGGAAGGGAGCAGAAGTCCAGCCAAGGAAACAGGAGATGTTTTTTCTCTCCAAAGCATACAGAAACCATTGGATAATAATTTACAAAACACAAGTGCAAGGGAGAAGTAGGTAGATGTTGTGGTCTTATTTTTCTGCTTGGACTTAGGAACTTTGAGTGAAGTCCTTCCCACTGATGGGCTTATGAACTTTAAATTGAATGGAGCTGCAATTTCAAAACGGTTCTGGAACATGAACCGAAGTGACCCGTTTGTGCTATTCTCATGCAAACAGCAATCCCAAGAGGATGGTTTTCTTCATTAAGGAATATACTTGAACACAATAAGACTGTACAATAAAAACTGAATTAAGTAACATTCGAAACAGAAACCTAAGATGGATCATTTTGGTTTCTTTTGTTGTTTTTTTTTTTTCCCATTCCTGCAGTGATTCTAAGGCATATATTCTTGGATGTCACGTTCATTTTTTAAAAGTCTGCTTATTTATTTATATTATTCACAGTGCTACTGAATTTTACAGTTGACCTGCATAACTGGGTTTTGTAGACGTGATCTACCACCTCCACTTTTAAAATAACTGATTGTTTTAGAATATACTTTATATGCATTTTCAGGACAGAGAAGATGCAGCACACGCAGATATTGTTCCCAGTTGAATTACTGTGTCAGAGAATTAAATGAAGTATAACTGAAATTGTTTCTTATTACTAAGGTATTGCTGAAATCATAATGAACCGACCCCACGCAAGAAATTCATTGGGAAAAGTATTTGTAAATGAAGTGAGTATGGGCCTGGCCTGTGAACGTGTTTGGAATCATGATCAATAACTAAATGCAGTAAGAATAGTTGTGGGAGATCTGAAATAAAAACTTAATCTCTTGCTGAAGGTCAGTACGAGACTGCATTGGGGCAAGGCAGGGTAGCCTGAAGAAAAAGAGATCGTGATATGTCTGTACTGCGGTAACTTCAGATGCGGACTGGACAGAGATATTGGAGGAGTTACTTAAATTAGCTAACTCCGATGGAAGTGAATGTCCTCACTCGTGTACTTACAACATTACACACTCATTGTCAGACCTTAGCAGATGATCTGTTCATCTGCTAAGGTCTAGGGAAGTCTGGCTCGTGCCTGGACAGGAAGGGAAGTTTAGGGTACAGCAAAGGTTCATCTCTGAATGGAAGAAAAAAAGAGATGGGGAAATGTGGAATTCTGAGGCTGTCATGGAAGGATCCTGCTGGCTCCAAATATATCATTTCCAGGAAATTCCTGGCACCTGCAGGGAAAAAAAAAAAAAGAAACTTTTATCATAGCTTAGGAGCTTGCTGTAATTTAGGTATATACATCCATATGCTGAAAGTTTTTCGTCTCTCGTTTGTACTCCCTCCCTCATAGCTGTTCACTGCTCTGGAACAACTCCGCTTTGATGAGAAGGTTCGCGTGGTGGTGTTTAGGAGTGAGGTGAAAGGTGTATTTTGTGCTGGTAAGTAACAAAGGCTCTGCAAACTGTTCTTGAAAAATGTGATGGCTCTTAGGGCTGTGTGCTGATCAGATCGTGCAGAAAAGCAGTCAAATGCCTGCTAAAAGAAAAACGGGCTGGCTTTTGTGTAGCAAATAACAAACACATTGCTATCTCTTTTGCCTGTCTGCCTCTCGGCTTCAGTGATGAAGACGTGTGTGATGGAGTGAGCCGCACAGGCTGCGTGGTGCTACTATTTGTTTTCCATTTATAACCATCTTCAAGCACAGGTGCCTCTGGTGTTGGAGTCCTTGGTTTCCAGTTTTATAGATTATCGTCCTTACATACAGTGATTAGTGCTCCTCTGTGAAATCTGTTCAAAGGGCACAGAGGAGCACCCTAGCCACTGCTCCAGCCCAAATGTCCTCACTCCAGCTTCCACTGACCTTACTTCACCAGAACGCTGTATTTCAAGACGTCTGAAGTGGTCTGTCCTCTGGGATGGACAGGCGGGGACACAGTTCAGATGTCTTTTCCCTGTTCCTGGATTCTAAACTTTCTCCTCTATTTAGGTGCAGACTTAAAGGAGCGTGCAGAGATGGATGATGCAGAAGTTGGACACTTTGTTAAAAGGCTGAGAAATCTCATGGATGAAATAGGTAAATTATGATCTCGGTTGGGAAATTTGTCCTAGACTGCCTGTACTGAGACATTTAGAAATGCTGCAGGAGGGGAAGGATGCTAGCCCCAGCAGGTTAGCTGTTTAGGAGTAGCTTCCCAAATGGCTCTAGCTTATGCTTGAAACAAAGATCTGATTAGAATTAAATACCAACCAGCCTGCTGCCACTCCAAGGACAAGATGCATTTCAGTACTGCCTTTTCCATGATGAAGAGCAGCACACACACAGGCATATAATAAGTACCTGCTATAACAAAGCATTCTATATACAGTTCTAGGTAATCCTTGGGAGACCGTGCTAGACAAAATGAGCCATGTTGGTTGTCCCACTTTTAATACACGCTCTGAAGCATTCATGATATGGTGATGACCTAAGAACATGGATTTTGATCTCAGAATGGATTTGTTGAATGTCAGGAGTTTCGTAGCTACAACTCTCGCCCCCTACCCCCCTTTTTTTTTTTCCCAAAAGGAATACGGACTTCTGCAATTGATTTTCTTCCCCTATTTATGAATTGTTCTGTTCTCACTAGAGAGGAATACCAAAGTGAAATCTGACCAAAATACCAAACAGAATTGCAGTAATGAGAAAAAAACAAACAACAATGTAGAGAGAATGACCCTGTCTCACAAACCACAGCAGCAGTGGGGGGGGTGGGGTGGCGCTGAAGTCTGCTTCCAGCTCCCCGAGTATTTAAAAAGGTATCTGATCAAGCAGCCAATCTCCAGCTACCTCACGTTCCTCAACTATGAGGTGACAACAATGTTTACCAAGTTCAGCAGCCTTGGCTAACGAAAGCTAATCCTTGTAACAGTGACTAGGGATGGTGTCTTTGACTGTTTAACTGCAATAGCTGGGTAGTCACATCATAAATTTGCAAGGAGACAATTCATCCTGTTTTGTATTTGCGTGTTTCTTTGCATGTAAGAAAGAAGAACGTTTTGCATTCTTCTTACAGAGAAGGGAGAAGCGTGAAAAGACACAGTTTCTACTATTTACAGACAGTCAGAAAGTTTGTGGCGGAAGAAAATGAATTCTTGAACAATTTTGAATTGGAGAACTATGCAAAGCTTTAGAATTCAAGCATTTAAATTCCAGAAGTGAGTGGAACAGAACTTCTGGAACAAAACTATAATCTGTATTGTCTTCTCTAGCTGCCCTGCCTGTACCCACAATTGCTGCAATAGATGGCTACGCATTGGGTGGTGGACTAGAACTGGCGTTAGCTTGTGACCTTCGAGTAGCAGGTTTGTGTGTTGCTTAATGTAGGATTCTTCTTGTAATCGGTGACTATATTTTAAAGAGAACTTAGATGCATGATAGCTGACTGTTAATCAAATCCAGTAGGCTAAGAGAGGAACTTACGCAGTTCAGGAAATGAGTAGGCATTTGTCCAGAAATTGTCACATTTAGCTACTATTGGGAAAGCAGTTTCCCTGCTTAAAAAGTAAAGCATGTATTTAGACAAGATTAGCGTTCTTTCAGAAGACTATTTATTGGTAGAATTAAATAGTTATTATCGTGTAGTATTGGATTAGCACTCTGGCTAGATCTAATCTTCCCTACTTAAATCAGCTTGGAGTGGAAGCCTTCCTTCTTCTGTTTCCATTCTTCCATCCACTACATTTCATCTAGGATGGACCCAAAGTTCATTTTTCTAGATAAAATTGCGACATTAGGGGTAAGCAGCCATACTACACACCCCTCATCTGGCTTGAGATGGACATCGATTAAGCACTGTAGCATTCAGACTTTCTAGCTACCTGGAGAAACAGAGTTCCAGTTCAGTATTGACAGTTTGTAGTTTTATTAATCAGTTCAGGATGGAAAATTTGTAGTTACACTGATCAGAAAGTAACTAAACCCTGTATTTATTTTTTTAATAGCTTCATCAGCTAAAATGGGCCTTATTGAGACCACGAGAGGGCTTCTTCCTGGAGCAGGTAACCTTCATTAAATCTTCAGTCTCTTAGTTTCTCAGCTGTATAGTAAATACTTTGCTATTAGAGCACTTGAAGTGTCTTGAAGGTAAATTAGAAGTAGCATCTTACAGTGACTGGTATGAATCCGGAGTTCTGTTCCAAGCCCTGTCTCGGACTTGCTATGAATTTAGGAAAGTCCCTTTACACCTTTTTCTGTTTATCAAAATCCTCAGAAGGATGCTGATGCCTTTCAGATGCCTTGCAAAATGTTGACATATTCAGCCAGTAGTTATTAAAGAAACACACAATCCCTTTATTTTTCAAACCTCCTTCTTATATAAGGAGACAAAATATAATCGGTTTTTTGGGCATTTCAGAAATGGAAAATGGTGTTTTTGCTGTTGTCATAAGGTGGAACACAGCGCCTGCCTAGATGTGTTGGAATAGGTCTTGCAAAGGAACTCATTTTCACCGGCAGACAGATTGATGGACAGCAAGCCGCCTCAATGGGATTAGTAAATCACACGGTGCCACAGAACAATGAGGGTGATGCAGCTTACCAGAGGGCGTTAACTTTGGCTAAAGAAATCCTTCCTCAGGTAAGTGTATTATTCGCGTAGTCAATGTAAAGAAGGCATTTCTGCTTCCCTTATGTGAGAGCAAACAAACAATTGAAATTCCTTTCTAAGAAATATTAAAGCCTTGGTTCCCGATGTTTAAGTCTCTTAACTCTGCCCTTTTTTGTAATGCAGTTTCTGTAGGAACAAGTGTTAACATCCAGCTGCTTAACCCATAGAACAGTTTTACCTCCCAGCTGCGGTTATGCAGACCTGCAGGACACACTGAAACTGTGCACCGTGTATATCTGTTAACTGTAGATAACGCCAAATTGGTTTTTTAAAATACTTATTAACTTACTGCAAATTTCTATAGATTAAAAGGTCGTTTGGAGGTAGGATAATTAGGATAACGATATAACAACTACACTATTATGAACTGAGGTGGCTTTAATTATTTTTAAATGTTTGTTGTGGTTGTTTTTTTTTTTTTTTAATAAAGGCACCATTTGCTGTGAAAATGGGAAAACTGGCAATAAACAGAGGAATGGAGGTAATTTTTTTTTTTTAAATACTGAGGTAACTGAAGCAGACAGGCAGCTCTTACAAATTACTACAGTAAAAATGTTTAGAACAGATGAGTTATAATCCTTGTTCAGACAAGGCATTTAAAACCATTTCAGGGGGTCTGAAGACTTTCTTTAAAGACAAAATTAATACGGCAGGATATTTTTTCTGCAGATGCTAGCCCTGTAGTTCTAATACAGGAACGAGGGTCACTCGCTGTAAGTGAATGTTTATTGATTTGAAGGCTATACTTCAGACAACTCTCACTCCTTCCCTCTTGTCCCCAGGTTGACATTGCGTCAGGGATGGCTATTGAGGGGATGTGTTACGCCCAGGTAGGTTACCTTCAGAATATATTCCTGAAAGGGACAACTGTACATTTTCTAAAGCCAGGTATTCACAGCCTCCTCTTGTATTTTGCTCTCTATAAGGGAACACTAACAGCTACATCTAAAGCTTTGAGAACATACTTGAGTGCAGTATCTACGTCAGAATGTTAATTGTTGTCATGCATAGCTGCCTCTCTCAGCCTGCCCAAGACCAAAGTCCTCCTTAAATACCCTTCTGTCTAAAGTAACTGTACATTCTTAGTTTCAACAATATGTTCATTATAGGATAAGCTTTACGAATGGTTTTAGTTTTAACAAATCAAAAAACAGATTCCTCCCGTAGTCGTTCTTTCTGACAAGTTTCAAGAGCATGCACCTTTCTCAGCTAACAGAACAATGTAACCGCTGTGCCTCTGAGTGTATTTTAAGATGGTAAAGTATTAAGTTTATGGAAAACTGTCTTCCTATGTAGTTCTCTGGTCTGTGGTCTTTGTCTTAGATGCTTTGCTTGTGATTTCCACTACAACCCAGTCTCTTTATTTTCCTAATTGCAAAACGTGGAAGGTGGAATTTGTGTATCATTGAAAGAAAAGCAATCTTAGTCTTGGACTGCTACTGCCACATTAGTCAGTACTTAAAAACACATCAGACTTGTCAATGAAAAACATACCTTTTTTTTTTAAATGTAGAATATTCCTACAAGAGACCGTCAGGAAGGGATGGCTGCCTTCAGGGAGAAACGACCACCTCAGTTTATCGGCAAATAATGCTTCCTAGCTTCCCCTTGATTTTTTGAAGGTAAAGGACAACTGAGGAGGACCCACGGATTTCTTGGGATTATTTTTATGACTGCATTCTATGTACTTAGCTCCTTGCCTTGGACTGCATCTCTGAATGCTCCACTGGATCATTTTGCTGTAAGAATTCCCAAATAAAGATTTAACTTTGTACAGCTGATCTTTTTAAAGTGCATACATCTTAAGTCAGTGGTTATGGCTCTCAAACAGATGTCAAGTAAGGAGTATGGAGAAGCTTTGACTCACCATAAGCAAATTTAAAAAAAAAAAAAGGCAGAAAACATGCTGTATCTAAACATTGATAGGAGGAAAAAAAAAATCACTCTGAAAAGAAATTCAACTTACAAAGAAAACCTTCCTAAGCTTGCTTCCTGTTAGCAGTGCTCTTCCAACTAATCAGACAGAACCAGCAGTATTGACACAGAGCAATGGTGTTTCACCCCAGACATCTCAAGCGTGTCACCTCTCTCCCGTCACCTATTTTCCTCTGTTGCCTGACTGGAAGTTGAAGTTATTTTCTGCCTCTGCTTAGAGGTTCTCCAGCACTGAGACGTGCCACACAATTTAGCTCTATGGCTTCTTACTTCCCTAGACCGGGGTTTTCAAGCAAAAGTGAATTAGTATAGTTAATGTATTTTTAGTAAATACTTTATAGATTATCAAAATATACTTATAAAATGTGCCTTACAACATTGGAACTGGGCATCACTTCATGCTATGCTAGTCTTGAAGCACACCACAATTTCACTTGTGCCAGAAGTTAGCTGAACAATTCTGTGGGTAAGGTAACCCTACCAGATTATACGTGTACAAGTTTCGTATGTCAAGATCTGCAAAGATAAAGCAGTCACGCTCTTCAGCCTTCACAAAAAAGATGGCAAATGCCACAGATGAAATATAAGAGTTTAAAAGTTGCTTCCAGAATTATTCTACCCTGGCAGGAACTCCTGAAGCTGCTCAGGCATGTGAAGAGACCTTTCTGTAACTGGCACATGCAAGTAAATTTAGTAGATTTATACTTTGTAGGCATTTATACTTTTCAGCTTAAAAGAATTCTGCTCACTGTTTGTTTGCCTGAAGCATGGGGGAAACAAAACAAGAAGGGTACGGAAAAACCACTTACAATCTCTGTGGTTGCTGGTTGCAGAACTTCATGAAGTGACAGCTTCACCATCTGGACTGATGCCAGTATCACATTCATTTTGTGCTGCATGTAGTAGTAGATTTTTTTTTCTTTTTTTTTTTTTACACCCTACAGTTTCAGTTAAGATGCTTCAGCAAGTTCTCCTGTTATTAGGAAAAAACAGTACTGTACGGAGAGTTGTCATCTTTATTTTAAAATCTTGTAGCAATTGATTTATATTCATTCTATTAACACCAATTTTGACAAGTTTTGTGTTCCATTTCATGTAACGGAAATGTTGTAGCAGAAGTACCATAGCAGACACCTCAGAAGGGTGGTGGGTAAACACTCGCAGGCCATTTTTCATTTTTTAAACCACATTCATAATTCTAAGCTACAACCAATTCAATTTCGTTCCCAATCAAGAAAACTGTATATAACCAGATACACACATGAAAATGATGCTAGCCAAATTATACCTTCATACAAAAAGCAATTACACAACATTGACTAAATTACTGGATGAGTACCTTTTGAAGTTGCTGAAATACACAATAAGTAGATTATTGAAGATTAGAGGTGATGTTTTTATTTGAAGGATGGGAGTTGGGAGAGGGAAGGAGTTAAAAATAGTAAAATGTGGTCATCATGAAGAAGCCATCCCTGCTAGTAAGCTACCAAACCTAAGTTTTCTTTTTAAACTCAATTACCAATATATTTACAGGAGAGTCTCTGAATATTAATCAGTTGCCATGGAAACGTGGAGACTAACCAGATAAACAAAAACAATACCTGAAACAAAACTGAATTTGAATGGACATGCAGTTTGCTTCCATCACTTGTATTTTATCAGGCATCTGTATGCTGTGCAATATGTTTCATTCAACACATCATTTGAAACCCATAGGTAACCAAGAAAGAAATAAGTTGTTACAATTAGCATCTTCATGTAAAATTTCACACTCCACAAAACAATGAAATCGACACAGGGCTTACGTAGAACATTGGGTGATATTTTGCACTGTGATGACTTGGAAATATAATTCACCACACAATACTGACAGAATATTTACAGAAAACAACAGAGCAATCATTAGTCTCTTATAAATAAGGTGACCAAATATCCTGGGCCTCCTCCGTGCAATCCCCTTCAAGATGAAGACAAGTCAGTATTTTGCTCTAATGAGCCTTCTCCTTTCCCTATCAGTATTCTAAAAACAAAAGAAAGATATCACACACAACCAAAAGTAGTCAAACAACAACAAAACCCCTTCTTGCTAGCAAGTTTAAAATCTCAAACTTAGTTCATCCTTTTAGTATTGTGTCTCCTTCTAATCCTGTTTCTATTGCTTTACTTCAGCAGGTTTCCCCTTTCCCTGATGCAATGCCGATCCCCACCTTACTAAGGGTAGGGAGGACTCAGGGGAGCTGAACTGCAAAGGCATTGTTCTAGCAGTATGGAAAACAAAAGAACACAGCTTGCAGGCAGAAGGAAAAGGAAGTTGAAGACCCCATTTGTGTTTAGAAGGGTTATGAGACAATGGACATTTTGGTCGCCTTAGTTACAAGTCTCATTGTAACCTGCATGCATGTACTTTTGTTTTAATCTGTAAGAGTGTTGAATCTCACAACCACACGCAGTTCTATTCAAACACCAAACTGGTAAACAGTATTATGAACAGCAATCATAGGGATGAAATAACTTTCTCTCCCAGAAGTCACAAAACAAGATATTCCTAGAAGTCTTTTTTTCAGATGTGCATATTGATCTGTACAAGTCCCATCTCCTTGTAGCCAGCAGTAATCCTACAGGTATGACCAGCTCAAGCAGTGACCCCTTACAAGTTGCATATGCGGTTGCCATTAAAGTTGACATTCACCAATGGTTACCATACATGGTTCCGGGTACCACAATTAGCGGCAAATCACTTTAATGGTGACCACTATATTACAAGTTACTCCAACTACACACACATCAGAAAGGATTATTACAGAGACAATACTTTACACTCCCTATACCTGCAGCTTTCAGTTTGGTTTATTTTGTTGCTGTTTTCTACATGGAGGTGGTCTCCCATGACGCATAATGTGTTTTTCCAAACTATCCAGGATGGCAATAGCAATCCTTTGGACATGTGGATCAGTCTGAACGTTTTCCTTGATGTTGTATAAGTGCTGTAAACCACCTTCTTCAATTAACATGCTGCAGTACCTGGCAGCTGTAATAAGATTAGAAAAAGGGAATTAAAAAAAAAAAATGTATCTAGGATAAATGTAGCAGATACTGTAAACGCTGATTCAAATCCATTTTTGTCTCCTAGACCAGCATTTAGGACACTCCCTAAAGTGTCTACAGAAGTGCATTTGTACTTTAACAAGTGACAACAGAACAACAGAGTTGTTCGGACAGGACTACGATTGTAATCAGGTCTGTTTCCATGTCTGTCTTAGCTGACTGGAAAATGCCTTGTAATATGCACAATATTCTCTCTCTCCCCCCACCTCCTCTACAGGCACTTTAAGTGCACATATATAAAGAAATTCCCATTTAAGAAATGGGAATCAGAAGTACTATAGTATCTATGAGTACCCAGGTAAAAATATCACCTTTGCAAAAAGCCTCAGTATAGAACAGTTACCAAAAATGGTATCAGATATACCACAGAATTTGTACAGGCTTGTAGAGTGAATAGGAACTAGTTCCTTCCAAAACAGTTTGCCAAATACTATTGATGGCAGCCTTTAACTAGTTATAAGTTGCTATGAATGCCTTTTCAGGGATAAAATTATACTTTTCTTTCCACTTCCATTATCGATTTTTAAAAGTTGAAAGCACACCTACATCAGCTCCAGTGTTATTACGTGCAGGGACCAGCTATAAAAAGAGCCATATATGTTTAATGTAACATGCAAGCTTCAGAAGTTTTTACAAAAAGGTCAGCGTGACTGTAATGCAATCCACAGAGCATTACCTGAGATGTGCCCTATTTCACCATTCATCTCGGTGAAGAAACACCAGAGTTGTTTAAATGCTGACACTAAGCATTTCACTGGGGATCACATTTACTGCAGTGCTACTAATATTTTAGTTAAGTTAATTTTTTTGTTAAGTTAGCTCATTGTGGTGGACATGATATAGAGAAACAGCAAGAGGAGAAAAAAATAAACAAGAAAAGTCAATCCCATTAACTCCAGACTACTTTTCACCCTCATCTAAAAAAGGAGGTCAAAATAAAATGCATCTCCTTTCCAGGACAAAAAGCCTTCTTGGTGCCAAGCACCAAAAGCTTAAGATTTTCCCCCCAAATAAATCTCCATATTTCAGAATTAAACACATTTTCCCTCAGAGTACATTATTACATTTGCTACCAAACATTTGGTTTCTCTGCAACTTTGTCCAGAAGCTTCTGGCACCGACTACTATCAGAATTAAACTTCAGGAATACTGTCTTGATCTCAAATCAGGAGTATGCCATCCAAGTATTTCCAAGCCTCTCCATTCTACAGAGCAGTTACTCACTGTCAATACAAACCTCTGTGGCATGCTGAAAGCCCAGAGGTTAGGGCGCCACAAAATAAACACTAAAAATAAATAGAACAAATAGGACCATACTAAGTTAACAGGGCTGAGGCACAAAGAGGGGGAGAAAGCTTGCTTTAGTTTCATTAATACGGAATTACAGGGTCTTAATCAAAAACTGTTATCCAGAGTCTGAGCAGTAAAACAACTCTGTCAGAACAGCCCTACTGCAACATGGGAAAAGCCCTCACAGATCTCTGGACAGTATACCCTGGGAACAGTGTCTCTTTTAGAGCTTGTAACTGTAATGAGTAGGAAAACAGTACTTTATGTGCAATTATATATTATATCATGTTATTGTTTGGTCCTGAATAGATGTCTTTTCGCTGTAGAAATAGTGATTTATGGGACAGGGATAAACAAGCATAGATACACTGCTGTCAAGAAGATTAAAAAAACTGGCACGGAAAATAGTTTTAATACTTTGGAGGAAAGCCGCTTTCTATCTGGTA